TGAGCTTGAGATTTCACACTTTAAGTATATGTCAATCATAGACCGAACGTTATTAGTTTTTACGATATCTGTTTTTTTTTTGTGATAAATCACATATCATCAGTTATTCATGGAACAAGTCGATGGGCAACCGGTGGCGCCACGGTGACATTTTTATCGATTTATTTATCCGACCGGCGGAATGGCGCCGAAACTAAAGTCGGGATCTTAAATTGTCGATTATGCTGTGACAAAATAGGTGCTGTGCCGACAGATACCTTTTCTGAAATTTAATTCTATTATAAATGAAATATTAATCAACATTACACATTTATAATTTGCAAGTAACGTAAAAAATGACATTCAGAACTTCATTACAGTTTTTAGTTAATTCCGACAAGTTACGTAATAGGGCCTCAGGAAAACAAATTAATGATACGGAACAATTAAGGCACGACAAGAACATGCGAATACTAAAACCAGATATTTAAAGTCCCTTCTGTTTTTTGTTTAGTATTGTATCTAATTTAGATTTACATGGTTCTCAATCTTTGTAAAATACATAACTTAATTAAAAAAAAAAACAATGACAATGTAGCTAAGAGAACAGACGACCGATGGGGAAGTAAGATTCTCGAGTTGCACCCTCGTATCGGCAAACGAAGCGGTTAAACTTTGACATTGAGAACCGATATCATTACTATATAAATCTATGTTGGTGATCAATTATATAGACCAAACAGCCAGTCGGACAGCCATTATTCTGACCTTATAGGTAGGTGGCGCGATTAGTCTTACTCTGAATTGACTTCGGACGTTTTAAAATGTAGGTATATATTTTTTTCTATTAATTACTCGCACACAGCGCCATCTAGGTTTCAGATTGTGAATATGTGCAATTTTGGTCCAAAAAAGAATCCGCAAATCGCATATGCCCTCTTAATGTGGCCCTAGTCGATGGCACGAACTAAGTGGTGGGCGAGGTTAAAATGCACTCAGCCGACATCACGTGCGAAAGCGAAAGGCATGATGGTTTAAAATTAGTGACAAAGCAAATTTTTACAGCAGTAATGAACGGCAGAGTCGGAAAGGGACGTCCTAGGCGAAAGTTAATCGACCAAATCGGCGATATATTGAAAACGGGCAAAATTAGGAGTACCCTTAACCGACGAGCATATATGCGTATTGCTTAGTATATGGATGTGGAGGAGGCGAGAGAGGTGTGTCAGGATCGTGCCAAATGGAAGTCTGTAGTCTCTGCCTACCCCTCTGGGTGACAGGCGTGAATGTTTATATATTATGTATGTATGAATACTTAGCATGAATAAATCATTTCCTTAACCACTGCCTATAAATGTAATAAATAAAAGAAACCTTTTTTCCCATTTTAGTTCAACAAGCGTTTTTAAGTCTTTACATTTGAAAGTAACAGTCTCAAAATACGTCCCACTCTTGCTTACAACTGTCCTTTATTTTTGAGAGTTGTTACACCTACAGTAAAGTTTTAAAAACATAAATATAAATTCTTGTTTATTTTGCGTATAACCGTTAAATTAACATCTTTGAGGTCAAAGCTCTACAAGGTCATATTATTTTTACAACACTGACAAGCACCAACAACTGAGGCCAGGATTAAATGAGATAATATTTTAATTGTTGTTTATTACTAGAGATTAATTGTGATTTATCATCAACAGCATTGTATAAGAAACGCAAAAGTTAAATAAAGAGAATTATTCTAAAAATCTTTTTTTCCAATTTTTTAATTGTTAACCAAGCTGGCTAAAACAAGTTGTGTCTTCTCAGTACGTCCCCTACGCGAAAAAAATATTATTCCGTACCATCAACAACTCTTCAGTTCGTCCGTTGTAATCGCCTGCAATTGTTCGTAATCCGATGTAACAGTTGCAGGTTCGGACTTCGGGAATCGTCCCCACTACCTTTACATTATATCATTATATCGGGTGAGACACTACTCACATAGTCTCCGGGACCGCAAATCTTTCACGACCCTTCATTTTGGATACGAAACTAGCTATATATTTTTGTGTCTTTGTAATGCTGGTGTGATGGATGTCCTATGATATCCTATAGTCAGGTCCTTGTTCATCTTCGTCATCCTGGTCGAATGTCGTTAGGGTTTCCCGAGTAAGTAGTTGCTCATCCGATAGTCTTGCATGAAGGGAGACGTACCCCGTCAGATGTTCAGTTGACCCGTTGTCAGCGCGGTTGAAGGTGAGACAAACGGATGCAATTTTCTGGATATTTCCTATCTTTTGGTCTTATGCTCTAACGTCGTTAAAGATATTACGACCAATCCCTAAATTACAACTTCAACCATACAATACTATAGTACATAATATAATGGCTGTCAACCTTATTTTGTACGAGGATCGGCGTCGCCGGGAGCACACATATAAGCAATTACGTCGTATTATCACTACTTCAAACCTCATTCGCTGTGTTGACAGAGTGAGCGACATTTAAAATTGTTCATTAATGTTTTTGACACATAAATATTTCTTTATTTTTGTTTCTAATATTCACAAAATATAAATAGTTTTGACTTACTGGTTGTAGGATGTCTCCTTTATTTAAATTCCGTTTCCCGCTGTTATTTTGACACGTAATTATTGCACAATTTGCCATTTATTAAATAATTTGCATGCAGCGACGCTTGCCACGAAAATTGGAAACAATTGATTGTGTTGCCATTTATAGGTGTGAATTGACGTATTAGTGACATGTTAGTGGCAACACGGGCTCCGGCCACTCCCCCGTTCTATTTTTTTCCCAGCTTTTATGAATTGAGAGCTTTGTCTATCTGGGAGGATCATACATAGCGTGTGGTCAATTTGACATCCTAGGTACATTGCTGTGGTCTTTGATTACTTGGGCGAAAGCATTTTTATGCGACTTTCTTAAACATTTAATAATATTAAAGCATTTAGAAAATTCGAAAATGGCCTAAACATTTTTGAAAATACTCCGGATATGAATAAAATAACTCTTTAGTTTTTAATTCAAATCACAAAGGGCTGAACTTACGCTTTTGTTTCTACATTTACTCGATTTTTCAATCCTCAGTAAAGAGTTATCCACAGGATAAAATGAAATATTCAAACAAATCCAAATATTCAAATTCAAAATTACAGTTTTTTGAACAAAATAGTTGAATTGTTTCACTTTTATCTGACGGTTACAAAATTGAACCCAAATAAAACATTGGTCAAAAATTCGTTATAAATTTTTGTTAGTTTAGTTAGCCGTATATAAATCAATTTTATTGCCTTTTGGCCACATCTTATCTTTTCTGATTCCCTTTATTTAATTTTTGTATTGAGAAATACTTAAAATAACTTGAATTTTTCACATAAATTTTAAATTTACGTTAAAATTTCTAGTTAAGTTTTTGAATATTTAAGAGAAAGTTTCCAGCTCGCTAAAACAAAAATGTAACACGAAATAAAAACTCCACATAGTCGGTTAGAATTCTATGCATACTGATATGTGATATTGATTACCTCTGAATGTAAAAGTATTTTCAACTTTCTAGTTTCGGTTCAATGGTGTTCCTGAAATTGAATTATTAATATGTTTTTTTTAAAGAATAAGCAAACAGTTCATCTAACGGTAAATGAATGCTGTGGCTCATAGACAGCTACATCTATCCTATGTTATTGTCATTTCACCTATATATATCTATATATATAGGATATGTAATATAGTTATTACGTTCCAAGTATCTTGTTACATAATACTAAATAGATATTTCTTTTTTATTACTCTTACACCTTTAATTAGCCTCAACATGCTATACTCAAACCTGATTATTATGTTTAATTTATAATGTGTATAATATGGGTAGTTAATATTATTTATTTATTGAAACAAGCCACCGCTGTATTGCGCACACAACTGTGTGCCGTTATAGTTATAGTTACACGCGACAACACGTTTAGAACAGTGACAAGCTTTATAATTTATAACAGAATAAATTTGACATCAAAATTACTAATAATGTATAAATAGTAGATAAAATTTTAATATCGGCACCGTTACAGCCTATCAAAAGTCCACTGTTCAATATAGGTCTACTTCTCCCAAAAATTTCATAGGCGAATATTTGCCATAGTTGCCACGGTTGGAAGGCAGGTTAGCATCCGCAGTTTTTTAATATTTTGAGTTGTTATTTAGGAGCTTTGTTTATATATATACATATATATACATATATATATATATATATATATATATATATATATATATATATATATATATATATATATATATATATATATTTAGCTTGCCAGGGAGACGTTGTTCTGCCCTTTTCGACGACCTTTGTGATGTCCTATTAAAAATCCTTAAATTCGCAAAAAAAATGTGGATCACTCACGGGCAAAAAAACTATCCTACCTCTCAAGTTGACCAAAGACCAAACTGCACACGATGTGCAAATTTGATTAAAATCGGTTAAGTAGTTTAGGAGTCCATCGCGGACAAACAACGTGACACGTAATTTATATATATTAAGATATATAACGTTACCCCTACACTAGAATTTTCTCCTGTATCGTGGGGACAGTTTACAAACACAAATTGAACTAGGACAAACATCCAGACCCGGAACAATTATTTGTAGGCCATAAAAATACTTGTTCGTCGTCACATATATTTCATTATTCAAGGTTCAGAACTCTTTCAGTTTCCCTATATCGCCTCTTACGATACCTACAGGACGAGGGTATTGGATATTCTTACATCGCCACTACATGGTCTAATCAATAATTAAATTTATTGTAAAATTATTATCCGGTTCTCGTTACTTAGCGGACGAAACATAGCAGTATTGTGCTGTCATTTTATGCTAATATTTTGTGCGAGCTTGGTTCTTCCTCAGACACTAGTGGCTTTATTCCGTAAAATTTTAGTTAAGGTTAAGGTTTAAGATAATTCACTAGTACTTTTATTATTATATATTTTATTTTAGTTTATTAATATGTTTGTTTTGTTTTTTTCAGCACACAAAGAAGGATGTTATGTAAAAGAGATTAATGACGTAATTCCATATAGAACAGAAGTAACACCGATCGGCTTTTGCTACAGGATCGAGTGTTCCGGCGATATGCTGTATTACGCTTCGTAAGTATCATGTTTTCTTCATTAGTTTTCCTGAAAAACGACGACAGCTTCGGGAGATTATGACATAGCTTCTCGTCAGGTATAGCTCAAATTTTGAAAACGAGATTGTACAACCAGTGTGTGTTACCAGTGATGTCTCATGGATTTGAGACGTGGTTTTTCACTGCTGGCTGTATGAGGAAGCTTAAGGTTGCTCAGCGCGCAAGCCTCAGGATAACTTCAGTAGAAACAGAGTAACCGACATAGTCCAAAGGATTAGTAGTAGTTTAAGTAGATATGGTATTGGGCCGGTCATATAGCTCGAAGAACCGACGACCTAAGGGGAAGGAGAATGCTCGACAGGCAGCCTCGTACCGGTAGACGAAGTGTAGGTCAGTCCCCCACTATATGGAGTGATGACCTTGTAAGACAAGCACGAAGTCATGCCCGGGCGAGTCCTATGTTCAGAAGTAGACTTGTGAAGGCCTGTAATGATGATGATGATGATTCTAAACTAATTGCCACATTTGAAAACATACCGCTATACACATCTAAAAGCAGCATATTTCAGTCAATCATTACCAGTTACGCTTAACTTGATTAAGCTTAGCTTAACTTTATCGTAATATCTTTTTGTTTTTCAATTTTACTTTATTGATGACAGTCCCTTAACCCTCGACATACGCCTAGTGATAAGACACGTAAATTTGTCAATTACTACATCGGTCCGCAAAAGTATACTACTGATAATTCTATTATAATCCTGTCCTGCGCTGATCTCCGTTATAGTTGACCGCCATGCTCGAAGTTCGGTCTAGAGGACATATTATAACAAAATCTAACATCTAATAGGAGCAAATTAGGACATTTAATAATATTTTAGATGATATTTTCTTACCATTTATCTATTTATATTATAATTTTAAAAATACATTAGAATTTTACACAACAATAGAATTTTCTCTTGTATCGTGGAGGTAGTTTTAATACATACATACGACAAGGACAAACATAAAGATGTATGTGATTCGAATCCACGGCCATCAGTGCCGATTCTAAGTGCTAAGCAACTGCGCCATGGAGTCATTCGTTAGCCGTCATATTGTAACGTCGATTGTCATCACCTGTTATTCTGACCATTTGAAACTCCACTTTTTTCTAAAAATGTCACATTCATTAACAAATTAGTATATGTGTAATAATATGTATTCTTTTAGATGCGGTAAACGCCTGACAAATGATCCACGTTGTCATATCACAGATAAAGATCTCAGTCTGCCGTACCCCGACTGTTGTCCCAAGTTTAAATGTGACCTAGATAATAATCTGATTTAGTTTGTAGATTAGAGCATGTTTTGATATTATTGGCATTAGTAGAAATATATTGTAAACACTGAGCGAATGCTTCGAAAAAAGGATTCGATTCCCTTCAATTTTGTCAGACAAAGAAGGCCTGACTGTTACTGATTTTGTCTTAATTTTAGTTTGATTAGTAAATAAAAGTGTTTTTATTACAAGTTAAAAATAGTAGTACTGATTTTTAACAGAGTTAATTTAAAACAGTTATAAATTCTAGTTTATGTTCTATATAAACAACCTTATGGTTCATGATTATTTTAAAACAAATCAATGCCAAATTATATAAAAGATTCCACTCTAATAAATTAAGAACACGAAAGCATTTATTAAAAAGGACATTTTCTTTTTACAAATAAAGAAATAGCACAGCACCATATTGCTCTATGTTTATTTTTGTTGACGAGATGATGAGAACTAATACTGCTGAGGAATGCTGAGCGCTGAATCCTTTTGATGAAGTAATGTTTCAATATAGGCAACTGTTTTTCGAACTTTGCATCGTCACCCGCATTTTACCTTATACAACCAAAAAAAAAAAAAAGATTCTTTTACCGCAAAAGAGAAAGTCAGAGCTCTTCATTTTAAAGTACAAGTAAAGTTTACTATACCTAAGGAAGGCAATGTTTTGTCAATCTTACCGTTATAAGGATATAAAAACGTGTATATTTAAGAAAGTTTCAAAAAATGCTTGAATGGGAAATCAATGAATATTTTTTTAGCGTTTAATGCATATAGAGTGCCAACAAAAAGCTTCATCATTAGTGCTATTTATTACTAAGACTTATTGATAGAGTTCCTTGTAAAAGAGTTTGAGTCTAATGTCGTAGTTAAAGCTCTAACTCCAGAAGCTATTTTGCCGCCAAATTGTTGAAATTATTTATTTTTAATAAAATATTTTTATAACGTTTTAGTTTTATTTGAAAGTTGCCTCTCTTTAATAAAATATTATGTATTTGTATGTCTGTGTGTATGCATGTGTAATTTTTGGTGTTTACGAGTATCCCGGAAAAATTCTAACCCATTCTAAGCCAGGCTGTAATAAAGTGAAAGCTCTCAGAACTGTGCTAAATGAGTCAATATTATTATGATAATGGTAATATTGATTTAATTCTAAGAATTATGCACTAAAATAGCATAAATATAATTTAATAGAGTCATAGTCACAGTTACAGTATTTTTTTTAAGAATTTTAATAGGCGACACAGGAAAATTGAAACAGGAGATTGGCAGCAGCATCTTTCCTAACAACAACTTATAATAGTATACAAAATATTGCAAGTGCAGTGAACTTTTGATATGATATGAATGATGTCATTGACAAGTCGTAAAATAAGAAATTCGCTGTCAAAAAAAAAGACGACCGCACAGGAATTCTCAACAGTCTAAAAATATTCTCATATTGAATAAAAATATCCATTCTTTCCATTTATTGTTTCCTATTCCCTAACGCTCAGATATTAAACCAAACGTAACATTATCGTTTCCAACATTTGTTTCATTAGTGAAAAAATATTATTATACTTAGCCTGCAGCTATCAGGCGTTGTGTGTTTATGAGAATTAAATCTACAGTTTGCTACAACAAGGAGAAAAATAAAATAACATGACGTAATAATAAGCTCGGGAGTCTGCTTCATAAATATACTTTTATATACTGATAATAAATAAGTTATTTTAACAATAATATATATATATATCTGTACTAATATTATAAAGTGAGAGTGCGAATTTTATATTTTGTAATTTCCACAAAGGTACGTTAATATATATTTATATATAAATTATATATTATATAAATTATAAGAGCCGTGATACCTCAGATGGTTAACGCTCGCTGTAAATATAACAGAAGACGAGTAACCCGGGTTCGATCCCCGCCGGCACCAATGAAATTGTGTTAATTGCAATTTTAAGTGCTGATTTACCACGTGCTCGGCGGTGAAGGAAAACATCGTGAGGAAACCTGCAATTCTGAGGAATAAGAAAAAAATATTTCGCAGACATTTGAAGTACGCCAACACGCATTGAGGCAGCTCGGCGGACACTTCCTTGCCCTAAACCCTCTCAGAAATGACGGGAGGTCTGTGCCCAGCAGTGGAACGTATTAGGCTGTAACTTTACTTTACTTTATTTATATAAATTATGACCGAAAGTGGTTGTAAGTGAAAAACTTGTGTCGCTTGAGAGCTTAAATGGCGTGTGCTTCGTCAATAGTTAAAGTGGCACGAAAACAATGTATGGCTCAATTGTTTCTCTATAATGAAAAAAAGTCCGTAACGGTATACTGTTTTTATATAAAAAAGATCGCGCGACAAAATTATCAGGGTGGCAGTCGAAAAAATCTGGTATACCATGAACTTTGGAATAAAATATACTTATATTTAAGAAGCCGGGACGGGCCGCTAGGATCTAAATACAAGTAAACATTAAGGCACTCCTTTTACAAATTAAACTATAGTAACAATTAAAAATACATATCACAAAATCAAAATAGCAGTTAATAGGCAGTAGTGTTGTAAATTGACCGTAATTGCTGTAAGAGAAGAGAGAGGAAATAAATCTGGAGGGAGGCCTATGTTCAGCAGTGAACTTTATTAGGCTGTAACGGTAACAATAACGGAGTTCAAAAAATATAGACGTATTCACCGATTGATCGGAAACTGCAGAACAGATTTGTCTCAGCACCGATTTTAGAAGCTTAATGTTAATTAGAAAATCGTATTACTTATTTTTGTTACCTACAATGCTATTTTTTTAGTTTGGATTCAGGTAGTTTCACCCCTATGTCTCGTAACACCGTTGATCGCGCGTCTGATCGGACTCCTAGACAAAAAAATCTCCATCATCTAATCATATTGAAACTTTTTTACAAATTGCCTCCATACTCCTAATATTGTATCCGAATAACTTTTTTGCGACAACTTAGACTCTTGGTATAATTATTCGGGTAGAGATAGCATTGTCTTTTCTTGTCATGTCCAAATAAATTTTTAACTCAATTTTCTTGCTATATACATCTAAAACCAGCAAGAGTTTCGTGCACTTCACTTAGTCGCAATTTTTTTTTGTTTCTCAATATCATTTTGTTATTGGCATAGACCTTTAAGTCTATCAACGTAAGTGTAGTGATAAGCGACGTGAAATTTAATTTATCAATTACTTCTTCGACCTGGCCTTCCCCGGCACAGATGGCTAGTCTTCGTTAAGATTGACCGCAGTGCCCGAAATTCGGTTTGAATGACATATTATTACAAACTGGAACTTCTAATAGGAGCAAATTAGGACGATTACTATTACGAACAAAAAGGTCTAGGAATTATTTAAATGATTATCGTCTTATCATTTATTTTTTTCCATTTTTTATTTTAAAAAAGTCACCCCCATTTTACTCCAGACGTACGTGATTCGAACCCATGGCCCTCAGTGCCGAAACTCAGTGCTAAGCTACTGCGCCAAGGGGACATCATTCATTAGCTGTCATAATGTAACATCGAATTTATGGAGTGTAGAAGTAAGGAGTAAAGACTGTGTGTTAAAAAGTGTCCATAAAAACCGTTAAATAAGGATGGGGCCACTATAACTACGGGGTAAATTTTAAAGAACGCACCAAAAAATATTAGTGGGACAGACGACTTTTTTGTGGTTATATTTACTAAATAAATTTATTTTAGATTTTAGAGCTACTGAGCAGTTTAGCAGCACACTTAAACCGTCAACAACTGCTAAGTTCATTTCATCCCAGTAGCTACTCCAGCGCTGTTGTGGAGTTTTTTTTACTGCTTACAGATGGCCACTTTTTCAACTATTCTACTATGGGAGTTGGTACTCCTTACTTCTACACTCCATAATCGAATGTTGAACCTTTTATTCTGAATATTAAAAAACCCTGGTTTTAGTTCGAAAAATGTCAATCAAATTGAAATGTGCCCTAACATAAATATTCAGCGCCACAAATCACTACGAATGGAACTAAAAAATTTGTATTCTTTTACAGATGCGGTGTCGCGTTCACAGACGATCCACATTGTCATATCACAGACACCGACCTCAGTCTGCCGTACCCCGACTGTTGTCCCAAGTTTAAATGTGACCTAGATAATAATCTGATTTAGATCGTAAATTAAAGCATGTTTTGGTATTGTTGGCATTAGTAGCAATACGTTATAAGCACTGAGCGAATGATTCGAAAAAAGAATTCGATTCTTTTCGATTTTGTCACTCAAAACTCTCTTGAAAAGAAGGCCTGACCATCGATTTGTCATTACTTTAGTTTGATGAGTAATAGAAAGTGGTTCTGATTTTAAATATAGTTAATTAAATATGTAATGTTATCGATTCTATCTAACATTGAAAACAACTTCATGTTGCATTACACATACTCAAAAAACAGCTCTTATAGATGAAGAACGCGAAGGCATTGATTAGATAGGACCATGTTCCTTTTTATAAAAAAATAAACAGGTCAACACCATATTGCTCTGTGTTTCTTTTTGTGGCGAGGTGATGAGACAGCAAACTTGGACAAATGCTGACCGCTGAATCCTTTTGCTGAAGTATGGATAAGGCAATTGGTCTTCAGACTTGGCGTCGTCACTCGCACTTTACCTCATACCACCAAGCAAACAAAAAGCTTTTACTGTACAAAAGAAAGTCAGTGCCCTTAATTTTAAAGTATAAGTAAAATTTACTATAACTACGGAAGACAATGATTTGTCAATTTTACTATTATTAGTATCTATGAATTTTTCAATTTCAAAAATGTAATGTCGAAAATCGATTTATAATTACTTAACATTAAATGTAATTAAAACTAGAACGTCAACAAGTGATATAATTAAAACTAGAATGTCAACAAGTGATATAATTAAAACTAGAATGTCAACAAGTTCCATTATTGATGCTATTTACGTAGGTGGTCTGAAAAGTTTTCGACCTAACAAAGATACAAAAAACTTTTTCTTAATTTTTTTTTATTTTTCTACTTTACTGGCTTTTCTTGATGAGTGCTACCATCTTCACGTTGAGGTCGAAAACTTTTCAGAACAATCTGGTATTTATAAGACTTACTGATAGAGTTCCTTGTAAAAGGGTTTGAGTATATTGCCTTTAGCCTTATCTCTAACTCAAGAAGCTATCTTGCCGCCAAATTGTTGAGTTTATTTATTTTTAATAAAATATTTTTTATAAAGATATATTTTTATTTTAAACTTGTCTTTCAATATAATGGAATGCAAAAAAAAAAAAAATAAAATAATTATATATTAATAAGCCCAGATAAATTCTTTGCTATATAGTATTGTCGGCTCTAATAAAATGAAAGCTCTCAAAACTCAGATGAGTCTGTTATATGAAAATAATAGGAATATCAATTAATTTCTAAGAATTATGCACTAAACTAGCATTAACATCATTTAAAGTCAAAATCAAAATATTTTTCAGAATATCCACTACATCCATGGTTAGGGATCCATCGCAAGGGACGATATAGGAAAACTGAAAAAGGAGATGGGCAAAACAAAGTATTCTTAGCCTGCAGCGATCAAGCATTGGGTGTAATTAAATCTAGAGTTTGTTTTAACAAGGAGAAAAATAAAATAACATGATGAAATAATGAGCTCTCGTATTAAAAAGATCTCAAATATCCTCCTTTTATTTCTTAACAATCTATAATTGAAAAATCATATATTTTTATTTCGTTTAATTTTATTTCAAAGCTGGACATATCATATAATATATAAATTTATTGTAATTTTAATAACTTTAACTTATAAAATGAAGTGTTCCTCTTTACCTAATTGTTTTTTTCTCGAATTTCTTACGCTACCTTTACTAATCATGAGTACCTGGATTCGTATCTCGGGTCAGGCCAAAATCAATTATTAGGTTTTTCTGTCAAAGAATTTCCAGTATCAGCCTGCAGTCAGAAAGTTGGCGCTGTTTCACCCCAGTGCTTCGGAAGCCGTAGGTCCCACGCCTGAACTCAATCCGGTTGTATCCGATAACTGTTCCATCAGACTATGAGATTGAGGGAATATAGAGAGCACTTGTGCTTGCGCATAAATTTGGGCACTCTAATTCCATCCTGCGCTGTCTGGCTAGTCCCCATTCAAACCGGCCATTGTGTTCGAAATTCGGTTTGGAGAAAATTATTATTATCGTTATGAAATAATAAAAAAATTAACACGGAAATACGTAAAACCGTAGATTTTACCACTTTTCAAAAAAAATGCCCCGAATTTTGAATGCTCATAAAAACAAAGGACTTTGTAAATTGTGATGGAAGTATATTAATTAGATTAAGTGATTCTTTAACTCTTAGTATGTATTGTTTAAAAGGATGCAATTCATACAGTTTAATAATAAAAATGAAATAAATTTGTTCAGACCCCCAAATATAACCAAAAACACGTAGTCATTTTGGTTCGGCTAATCACTTTGTAATAGAAAACCTATATCTTTTCTAATGCAATTCACATAATTGTGAATATCTAAAATGACTTAACGTTAAGCTGACGTATCGTAGTAGTCTTTAAATACGGATGATTGGTTGATATCACTATTTAAAAACTTGTCTCATTTTCACATTATTTGTTACTATTTTGTATGTTAGCAAAATCTGGCCATTAAATATTAAAAAGATTTTATGATAGCATTTTGTAATGACACCAGTAACACTCAGGGTTCAGGGTACATACATAATAAAGAAAAAATGACGTCTCTTGAACTTTTTAAAGTTCCATGCGAGTGTTTAGCAGTTGATATTTTTTGAGAATATTGACGATTTAAAAAGTAAATAATACTTTATATTTAGTGCACGTTTTATATAGTAAAATGCATAAATTATTAATAAATGTACGGTAATGAGGCTCTGTTTCAAATTCGGCTCGATTTTGTCATTTTTGACTATTTGTAACCTTGAAAACCACTCTTTTACGTTACTTTTGTGTAGCTTCTTTGTTAATGGTAACGTTGATTAAAGTGTTGTAAAGGTTTGAACATATCTTAAGTTATTTTACTTTTCTGAATAGTAGTAGGTATAATAAAGCTTATTAACGAAAGCAGACCCAGTATTTTGTTTTTTGAAGTGCATGATACTGTGGAAGGAAAGAAAAGGAAGCTATTGAAAATAAAGACAATAGTGAAACTGAGACTGGATATAATAATAATAATTATATAATAATACTAAGGATTATTTCGTCATAAAAAGTACATGCATTAAAAACTAGAAGATTGGAAGCTCCATTTAAGCAAATAATGCCTGTGTTTGGAGGGTCCGCCCTTCCATTACTATATCCATGTTACAAGGCAGTATGGGTAAACATTTTCTATATCATATATTAAAGTTATCTATATATTACTTATATTCTAAAATTAGGATAATCAAACGATAGGAACTAGTCTACTTATAAATACTGTATGGTATGTGAGTGAAAATTAATTTATTTATGCATACGTATGTGTGTGTATAAGAAACAAAATGAGACAGGGTCCAAGCTACTGGTGGTCAGGGCTCAAGAGAGAGTACGTGCCGCTACAAGAAGTACAAGTATGACACATCTGAGAAATTACATCGGCAAACTTCGCAAAACCGGTAACTTCCGAACTGAGTGCGACTTCAAGACTATGAATATTTATTAGTTAAGTAAGTCACTAAGTAAAAATTAATTCATTTTACAACCAATAAGTTGTAAAATGAATTAATTTTTACTTAGTGACTTTTAGTCGTGTCATACTTTACTGATTTTAGTGTCAAGCCCTTGATCCAGCTAGCTGTTTAATGCTGTTGTGTTACGTACGGTGAGTTCAGAGAACCGGAGATCCTTTTTACTGGATACGACGTTTTTGTACTTAGTCCTTATGGTTGACAACGCATCTTCATTTTGGTTTCGGATGCATCTTCATTTTGTATAGAGGATAGATGTATCTACTTAACATGAGGTGGACTGCGTGCTATCTTGTCACGCTTATTCTATAAAAGAGATTAGTTTCTTAGTTTAAAACATACTACAAAGTAAAATGAAAATAAAAATAAAAAAGGTTATTAATTTAGTGTCTTTTTTGTTTAAAGAAAGTTTGAGAATATCCATCAATGATCATACTTTTCTGTTATCGAACTTAACTTTGCACCATTGGCGAACTGTACTAGTATAAATTTTTGATGCTAGTACAGTTCGCCAATGGTGGCATGACTTAAGCTTTCCCGCTAAAAATAGCGAATTATGAATCAGCCTTACAAACATTATTCGTTACTTTTGCATTAATTTTACGTTACCGTGTCATTGAAATGTCTTTGTTATTATATGTCACAAAGTGGCAAAATCAACGACCTTACCCAAAAATGACGCGTACGACGTTTTATTCCTCACCATGTTCATTTTGTTATATGATGGAATTGCGTGTTTAGAGGTGAGCGTTAAATCGAGCAAGGTGTCCTCCCCCTCGGGATTGTGGTGAGTGGCTTGTAAAGGTAGGACATGGCGGCCAATCAACTCGATTGTTCGAGGGAGTTTAAAGAAATGGGACGAGCGAGGAGCCAGGAGATTTGTATTAAAATCACCCATGATGATGTGATGAGAATATTATTATATTACCTTAAAGATTCCAGAGTCGTTTTTAGAGACTTTCACATATGTTTATCTGTTGGTTTGGTAAGAACTAATAAATTAACGAACGGAGAATTACTCCAATGAAATAAAACGCCTCGTGTCACTCGTTTAACAACATTTTATTTGAAGCTGATCTGTCATGGCAACATACTTATTTGAACAGATGCACTCGCTAATTTATCACAGCTTAATCAAAGCTAGTTGCTGTACGCACAAATGGAAGTTGGTACAAAATGAACTGGTCTATGACATGGTTAGTAGCCCTAGCTCAGTTACTTGAACCATAAGGTGAACAGCACCTCACGCACACTAAGTAAGTTGTTCATAATTACTGTAAAGACTTACAAAGCTCCGGTGCATTAGTATTTCTCCAGGTTTTAATCAACCAAAATAATGGCATAAATATCGTCGTGGAATAAACAAAGAAGCAATGAGGTTTATTTTTCTTTCATTATAAACATGGTAACTGAATATTTCTTCTAACATTTCTCTTCCTCCTTGATAAA